AAAACCTTTATAGGCAAGCAAAAGCTAAGAGAATTCAGCACCACCAAACCAGCTTTACAACAAAAGCTAAAGGAACTTCTCTAGGCAGGAAACACAAGGGAAGGAAAAGACCAACAAAAACAAACCCAAAACAATTAGGAAAATGGTAATAGGAACATACATATTGATAATTACCTTAAATGTAAATGGATTAAATGCTCCAACCAAAAGACACAGACTGGTTGAATGGATAACAAAACAAGACCCATATATATGCTGTCTACAACACACCCACTTCATACCTAGGAACACATACAGACTGAAAGTGAGGAATGGAAAAAGATATTCCATGCAAATGGACATCAAAAGAAAGGTGGAACAGCAATTCTCACATCAGACAAAATAGACTTTAAAATAAAGACTATTAGAAGAGACAAAGAAGGACACTACATAATGATTAAGGGATCGATCCAAGAAGAAGATATAACAATTGTAAATATTTATGCACCCAACATAGGAGCACCTCAATACATAAGGCAAATACTAACAGCCAAAAAAGGGGAAATCGACAGTAACACAATCATAGTAGGGGACTTTGACACCCCACTTTCACCAATGGACAGATCCAAAATGAAAATAAATAAGGAAACATAAGCTTTAAATAATACATTAAACAAGATGGACTTAATTGATATTTATAGGACATTCAATCCAAAAACAACAGAATACACTTTCTTCTCAAGTGCTCATGGAACATTCTGCAGGGTAGATCATATCTTGGGTCACAAATCAAGCCTTGGTAAATTTAAGAAAATTGAAATCGTATCAAGTATCTTTTCCGACTACAGCGCTATGAGACTAGATATCAATTACAGGAAAAAACCTGTAAAAAATACAAAAAAAATTGGACGCCAAACAACACACTACTAAATAACTAAGAGATCACTGAATAAATCAAAGAGGAAATCAAAAAATACCTAGAGACAAATGACAATGAAAATACAAAAACCCAAAACCTATGGGATGCAGCAAAAGCAGTTTTTAGAGGGAAGTTTATAGCAATACAATCCTACTTAAAGAAACAAGAAAAATATGAAATAAACAACCTAACCTTTCACCTAAAGCAATTAGAGAAAGAAGAACAAAAGAACCCCAAAGTCATCAGAAGGAAAGAAATCATAAAGATCAGATCAGAAATAAATGAAAAAGAAATGAAGGAAACAACAGCAAAGATCAATCAAAACTAAAAGCTGGTTCTCTGTGAAGATAAACAAAATTGATCAACCTTTAGCCAGACTCATCAAGAAAAAATGGGAGAAGACTCAAATCAATAGAATTAGAAATGAAAAAGGAGAAGTAACAGCTGACACTGCAGAAATACAAAGGATAATAAGAGATTACTACAAGCAACTCTATGCCAATAAAATGGACAACCTGGAAGAAATGGACAAATTCTTAGAAATGCACAACCTTCTGAGACGGAACCAGGAAGAAATAGAAAATATAAAAAGACCAATCACAAGCACTGAAATTGAGACTGTGATTAAAAATCTTCCAACAAACAAAAGCCCAGGACCAGATGCCTTCACAGGCGAATTCTATCAAACATTTAGAGAAGAGCTAACACCCATCCTCAAACTCCTCCAAAATATAGCAGAGGGAGGAACACTCCCAAACTCATTCTACAAGGCCACCATCATCCTGACACCAAAACCAGACCAAGGTGTCACAAAAAAAGAAAACTACAGGCCAATATCACTGATGAACATAGATGCAAAAATCCTCAACAAAATACTAGCAAACAGAATCCAACAGCACATTAAAAGGATCATACACCATGATCAAGTGGGGTTTATCCCAGGAATGCAAGGATTCTCTAATATATGCAAATCAATCAATGTGATACACCATATTAACAAATTGAAGGAGAAAAACCATATGATTTTCTCAATAGATGCAGAAAAAGCTTTCAACAAAATTCAACACCCATTTACGATAAAAACCCTCCAGAAAGTAGGCATAGAGAGAACTTACCTTAACATAATAAAGGCCATATAGGACAAACCAACAGGGAACATCATTCTCAGTGGTGAAAAACTGAAACCATTTCCTCTAAGATCAGGACCAAAACAAGGTTGCCCACTCTCACCACTGTTATTCAACATAGTTTTGGAAGTTTTAGCCACAGCAATCAGAGAAGAAAAAGAAATGAAAGGAATACAAATTGGAAAAGAAGAAGTAAAGCTGTCACTGTTTGCAAATTACATGATACTATACATAGAGAATCCTAAAGGTGCTACCAGAAAACTACTAGAGCTAATCAATGAATTTGGTAAAGTAGCATGATACAAAATTAATGCACAGTAATCTCTTGCATTCTTATACAATAATGATGAAAAGTCCAAAAGAGAAATTAAGGAAACACTCCCATTTACCACTGCAACAAAAAGAATAAAATACCTATGAATAAACCCACATGAGGAGGCAAAAGACCTGTATGCAGAAAACTATAAGACACTGATGAAAGAAATTAAAGATGATACAAACAGATGGAGAAATATACCATGTTCTTGGATTTGAAGAATCAACATTGTGAAAATGACTATATTACCCAAAGCAATCTACAGATTCAACGCAATCCCTATCACACAACCAATGACATTTTTCACAGAACTAGAACAGAAACGTTCACAATTTGTATGGAAATACAAAAGACCCCAAATAGCCAAAGCAATCTTGAGAAAGAAAAACGGAGCTGGAGGAATCAAGCTCCCAGATTTCAGACTATACTACAAAGCTACAGTAATCAAGACATTATGGTACTGGCACAAAAACAGAAATATAGATCAATGGAAAAGGATAGAAAGCCCAGAGATAAATCCACACACATATGGTCACCTTATTTATAATAAAGGAGGCAAGAATACACAATGAAGAAAACACATCCTCTTCAATAAATGGTGCTGGGAAAACTGGACAGGTACATGTAAAAGAATGAAATTAGAACACTCCCTAACACCATACACAAAAATAAACTCAAAATGGATTAAAGACCTAAATGTAAGACCTGACGCTATAAAACTCTTAGAGGAAAACACTCTAGGAGGCAGAACACTCTAGGACATAAATCACAGCAAGATCCTTTTTTGACCCACCTCCTAGACAAATGGAAATAAAAACAAAAATAACCTTATGAAACTTAAAAGCTTTTGCACAGTAAAGGAAACCATAAACAAAACGAAAAGACAACCCTCAGAATGGGAGAAAATATTTGTAAATGAAGCAACTGACAAAGGATTAATCTCCAGAATTTATAAGCAGCTAATGCAGCTCAACATCAAAGAAAACAAACAAACTTCTTGGCAGAAGACCTAAATAGACATTTCTCCAAAGAAGATATACAGATTGCCAACAAACACATGAAAGGATGCTCAACATCACTAATCATTAGAGAGATGCAAACCAAAACTACAATGAGGTATCACCTCACACCAGTCAGAATGGCCATCATCAAAAAATCTACAAACAATAAATGCTGGAGAGCTTGTGGAGAAAAGGGAACCCTCTTGCACTGTTGGTGGGAATGTAAATTGATACAGCCACTACGGAGAACAATATGGATGTTCCTTAAAAAACTAAAAATAGAACTACCATACGACCCAGCAATCCCACTACTGGGCATATATCCGGAGGAAACCATAATTCAAGAAGATATATGCAGGGACTTCCCTGGCGGCGCAGTGGTTAAGAATCTGCCTGTCAATGCAGGGGGCATGGGCTCCATCCCTGGTCCAGGAAGATCCCACGTGTCACGGAGCAACTAAGCCTGCGCACCGCAGCTACTGAAGCCCACGTGCTCTAGGGCCCATGTGCTGCAAATACTGAGCCCGCGTGCTGCAACTACTGAAGCCCACGTGCCTAGAGCCCGAGCTCCTCAACAAGAGAAGCCACCGCAATAAGAAGCCTGCGCACCGCAACTAGAGAAAGCCTGCATGCAGCAAAGAAGGCTCAATGCAGCCAAAAAAAAAACAAAACAAAAAAAGAAGATATGTGCACCCCAAATGTTCATAGCTGCACTCTTTACAATATCCAAGACGTGGAAGCAACCTAAATGTCCATCGACAGATAAATGGGTAGAGAAGATGTGATACATATATACAATTGAATACTATTCAGCCATAAAAAGGAATGAAATAATGCTACTTGTAGCAACATGGATGGACCTAGAGATTGTCAGACTAAGTGAAGCAAGTCAGACAGAGAAAGACAAATACCATATGATATCACTTGTATGTGGAATCTAAAGTATGACACAAATGAACTTATCTACAAAACAGAAATAGACTCACAGACATAGAAAACAAACTTATGGTTACCAAAGGGGGAAGGGCAGGAAGAGTTGGAACGATAAATTAGGAGTTTGGGATTAGCAGATACACACTACTATGTATAAAATAGATAAACAACAAGGACCTACTGTAGAGCACAGGGAACTCTACTCAGTATCTTGCAATAACCTTTAAGGGAAAAGAATCTGAAAGGGAATATATATATATATATATTTACACACACACACATATATATATGTATATATATATATAACTGAGTCACTTTGCTGTACACCTGAAACTGACACAATGTTGTAAATCAACTATACTTCAATTTACAAAAAAGGCAAATGGAAACTGAAAAAAAGCCAAAAAAAGAAATACATATACATAAAATGAATATTTAGTAAACTTAATTTAAAATTTTCTATTACAATATTATATTATTTTTATCACTGAACATATACAAACCAACATCTTTAAAAAACCACTGGACATGGAAATAAACAAAATATAAACTAAATCCCAGAATGTGTCTTTAAAGAGGCAAACTGCACTTAAAAGAGATGTGGAATTATGAGGAAATGAAGCCAAATAAACAGGATCAATATTTCCCCTGAGAAACATTGATTTTCAAGAAATGACAACAGAGTGTTTTTCTTGACAACTTCAACAAATGAGCTTAAGTCATACCTGTTCTGGAAGGAGCCATCCAGGTGTGAAAAATTATTCCCACGGCTGATTTTGTGCGTGTACATGTTCATTAGGCAGCTACTAATTTCTATATTGCACTGGGAAGAAAGGAAGGAAGGAAGGAAGGAAGGAAGGGAGGGAGGGAGGGAGGGAGGAAGAAAAAAAAGTAATGTGGGTTTTCATATTTTGAGGGTGCAGGTCCTCAACTTTGAATTATATGGGCCTTGGAAGCAAAGGCTGATAAATGGCAAGATTAGACAGTGTCTGTGTACGTGTGTGTGTGTGTGTGTGTGTGTGTGTGTGTGTGTGTGTAGGAAGGAGGGGGTGTGGGTGAAGGTGGGAGTTGATTAGGAAAAGTGATAGTGGAGATTCTGCATCTGAGTTGAAAACAGTATCCACAAATTCCATTTTCAAAAAGAAAAACCCTTCTCTTGCTCTTATGTTAGTCTTTATGTTAAGAGTCTTTGCCTCTTTGGTTTGGCAGGCAGTCCTCGTAAGAGGACGTAAAAATCCCAATGGCTTAGGGATTTTCCTCACAGTTGCCCCATGCCAACCAAAGGCAATAGACAAATCAGGAATAGGGTCACGGAATAGCAGAGAACGGAATCCGTCATTGTGACACCGTGCCAATTCTGTCCCCGCTCCCTGGGGGATGGCATCTGGGTCTGCAGCTCTCATTTTCACTTCGGCAGCAGATGTCTTGGTTATTAGGTAAACACAACACAAATCTATGATCTCTCTCACACGTCCGCCATGATTTCAGCTTTAGGCTCATGGCATGCCCATAATGTGTTGGAAAAGCAGCGTAGACTATGCAGCTCAGGGTTCACGTTGTTTTCCTAGCCGCACAGAGCCTGGTGACTGCAGCTTTGAAACTCCCGTGCTTCCTGCTGCCCTAGCTCCCCCACTACCTCCGGCAACAGCTCACGTCCCCGTGGATGCTCCCTGAATATATAAATGTTCCATCAGCGCCGTCTAGTCCAGAGGTTTGTGTTTTACTTGGATGAAATTCATCCACACCTGGAAGGACAGACAATGTCGCTCCTCTCCTCAACCTTCCCAAAATATTGTATCCACCCCAAGTATCTTTAATCGGTTGGCTTTCACATACTGATGTGTAATATTTGAATATTTTAAGATTTCTCTTGCATCCAATGACAGTAAAACCCATAATCTAAGTGTGCCATTCTAGGAAGGGGGAATAAAAAAACATTGGTGGCATGGGATGGAGACAAAATTCCTTTCTCCCACCAGACTAAGGAGTCTGAAGTCCGGTGACATTTTTCAAAAAACAGCAGTTAATAAAGGACTGAGGTGAGGGAGTATAGTAAGTCCCCTACATACGAACCTTCAAGTTGCGAACTTTCAAAGATGCGAACGTGTCCCTGTGTGCCAGCTGTTGTGTGTACAACTATAATTTTCAAGGTACTGTACTGTAAGAATTAAAATATTTTCTTTATTTTTTGTGTTTGTATTTTATGTAGTATTTGTGTGAAAAGTATTATAAACCTATTACAGAACAGTACTATATAGCCGAGTGTGTTAGCTGGGTACTTAGGCTACCTTTGTTGGACTTACGAAGAAATTGCACTTACGAACGTGCTCTCAGATCAGAACTCATTCGTATGGAGGGGACTTACTGTAGTCATTTACTGAGTCCATAGGTCTTAAGTGTTCCTTAAAATAGTAATATCTCAACAAGTGGAACACCTGTACGATAGCCAGGCTGTGTGTTCCAGAAAAACCTAGATTTTTCCTTCCAAAGATTCAGAATGGATCCACTGGTTTTAAATCTGGTATCCAGTAGAGGGAACATAGCCAAAGCCAATTCATATACTGCCTTCCTTTGGTAAATCTCAATGTGAAATATTCTCTCCCCACTAGATTTGAACATATCAGAGGTACTGTCCCCAATTTTTTCCATCATGATCTTTAAATCTACTGAGGAATTTCTTTCTTAAGATATCGTTTCTCCCAACATGGCTTCATAAGTCCTCTGGGTAACATGGATCATGGACCCATTTATCTCACTGGCAAACCCTTGTACTTGTGTTAAAAACTCCTGAGCAAATCGCCATAAGGGCACAGATGAGTCCCATAGGTAGATGGTAACTTGTGGGAAGAAATGATTTATTGCAATAAATGCATGCTGATACATACAGGTATTTTCTTTTTTTTTTTTATACGGGTATTTTCTAATTATGTAAGTCAAAAGATTGTTATGTATGCTTGCACTTCAAAAAAAGAGAAAAGATATAGGAAAAGATAACTGTGTTCAAGCTATACGATCAACAAGATTAAACCCAAGGGAAACAAAAATCCACAATGTATAGTATCACAAGGAGCGAATCATTTTCATGCATATACAATGGGGAAAAGTTATACTAAACCTATGCATTGCTTACTTACATTAAAGCTGCATCCCTTCTTACGAGCGAAGTAAATAAATCAATAAAGTATTTTTATACTAGATGCCACCTCAAGCAATTAATTTAGTGAGGTAATCGGATTGACATAATTAGCATACTGAGCTGAATTACTGCTTTGTGTGACACCATCCTATCAACTAATAACCAAGGATTTGGAGAATGCTAATTTTCACATACAGACAGTAATAAGTTGGCCACTGAACTAAGATTAGAGTGCCAGCTGCATCAGACCTTGAGAGAACAGAAATACAGGAGACAGTATTGGCTTAAATTGAAAAAAAAATCACTAGCTATGTAATATCTCTCAGAGATAAGGGCTCAGGAGCTAACCAACATAAACAAGAGGAAAATGGCAGAAGGAAACTTACCTGGTGAGTGATTGATTCCCATCTGTTCCTTGAGAGAGTGGAACAGATTTCCAGATTTCTCAGATTTCAGTGTCACATAATCCCTCTGGAAAGGTTCTTTAAAATGTAGTTTCTGGTGGCTCAAAAGCCATCATTTTCAGCGATGGTTCTCAGGAACATGGGCAAGCCACGTGGCTCGTGGACAGTATTTTTGAAGACTATTCGTAAGAGACAGAGAAAGAGAAAGAATGAAGGAGAAAACGATGGATTGATTCACAGTTGTATTTTAACATTTCATCAATTATAACTAATGAGAACCTGCTGTATAGACCAGGGGACTCTATTCAATGCTCTGTGGTGACCTAAATGGGAAGGAAATCCAAAAAAAGAGGGGATATATGGATACGTAGAGCTGATTCACTTTGCTGTACAGTAGAAACTGTAATACAACACTGTAAAGCAACTATACCCCAATTAAAGAAAAAAGATTATAACACAACTAAATTTTTGGACCAACTGCTTTTCTTAAAAATAATTAACTAAAAAGCTAGTGGATAAAAATTCTGAGTGGTTACTGATCTAATACATGGAAGACATGGTGAATTACATCTATTAGAGCCCCAAAGGGGATTATACCATATGCCCAGAAAATCTCCAATTGACCAGTTAGAATATTAAAGAGAAAAAAGGTGAAAATTTTTTTAAAGTGGTTTGCTAAAAATGTGATGCCATAAATATTTCCATAAGCTATATACTTTTATACAAATGTTTGAAAACCATTTCTTGAAAACAGACTTCATTTTGAGTAATATTATAATAATTGGTAGTATTGGCTGGAACAAGAGGTTCTTTATAAAATCAACTCAATGATTTAACCAAAAGGCATTTCTTAGGGGAACGTCGCTATCTTCTCTCGGAATAATTTTTTTTTTTTTTTTTTTTTTTTTTTTTTTTTTTACGCGGGCCTCTCACCGCTGTGGGCTCTCCCGCTGCAGAGCAACAGGCTCCGGACGCGCAGGCTCAGCGGCCATGGCTCATGGGCCCAGCTGCTCCGTGGCACGCGTGGGATCTTCCCGGACCAGGGCACGAACCCGCGTCCCCCGCATTGGCAGGCGGACTCTCAACCACTGCACCACCAGGGAAGCCCCTCTCAGAATAATTTTTAATCATTGTTTTCTTCCTAATTTTTGTCTCCTCCCTTATTCCCAAGGAGACAGATCTTGCATAATGGAAAGGCAGTTAAAATTTGTTTGAAAGACTCTACCGGATGAGTAAGTGAAGAGCAGGTTTCTAGGAAAAATAAATGAGTAGGGGGTGAGGAAAGAAAGGTCATTTCCATTCTATTTCATTCTCAAGTGATGCTGACAACAATTCGTGAACCACTCAGGCTATCGTCTTTGATCTTGAAGCAGTTTGTTGATTTTTAGATGACTAACACTTATTTGAAATGCATGAAAAATGGCCACTTATCTCTGAAAGATCTCTCCACTTTTTGTGTGTGAAATGTGATACTGTCCCTTGAAAATCAAGTCCATGGAACACACAAATTAAGTTATTTCTGAAATATGAAGCTAGACCCTAGAAACCAATAACCAGGCTATTGACTGCCCCAGCACCATGCCTTACAGAGACTTAATAAATGCCTTCCGGTGTCCACATAATAACACTTTATTGAATTTCAGGGGGGAAAAAGATAGCCACCATTTTTCACTCTGCATTAAGCTGATGAATATGGAAATAATAAAACATATGATATGATAATGCCACCACATTTAACTTTTCTTGCATGAAAAGGTCATCTTTTGAGCCTTTTTTTTTTTGCTAGATTCAAATAAAGTCTCTAGACATGCAAGATGGATATTTCAAAACTACGGAAAAAAACCAAAGGGTACCTTCTCTAAGATAAAGGAAATCTTGCTGTTAGTCCAGTTGTGCTCCCATATATATTTTATAAATTGTCGTAATTCTTCAAATATCACCAGAGAGTGGAATTTGAAAAATGCATTATAAAGTAAGCATTTTCACTTTAGAAAAGATGTCGCAATATTTAGAATTATGAATGATCTGCCTTTTAAAAACAGAATTCATTCTATTTTTTGGAGCCATACTTTCCAGTGGAACTCTCTACAGTGGTGAAAATGTTCTATATCTGAGCTGTACAATATGGTAACCACCAGCCCTTCTTGGTTATAAATGGTCGGTGCCTACACTTACGTAGGAGAGTTAGTTTCAAAGAACGAGTTCCATACATGACATTCCACACATTTCATATAATTACATGCAAATCCAGTTCTTAAAACATCCTTTAAAAGCATCCCTACGCATTTCAATGTGTACTGCAAGAATTATACCTACATACTGGATTATTTCCAGAATTATATGAACACATGGGAGTTTTTCTTTTGCTCTCTTTGGTCATAATTCTGAGGGTTTTGTATCTCATTTCAACCATAGCACTTTTGGACAGAATACGCTCTTTCATGATAAAATATCTGAAGAAAGAGTTTAAGGCTCCAATGATACAATAGCACTTCTCTTTGATGCCCGACCCCAAACTACAATGTTGCCTGAGATTAAAGAGTACATTATTGCTATTACTCTGTGTGATCATTGCGCTGTTTTTCTTGTCTTCTAAAGAAAAAAATAAAAGCATATATAGTGTTCAGTCTCAATATGTAGAACAGCTACTGTGTGTTCCCTCAGCACGTTTCTTTTTCCCCCAGTTTTACTGAGAAATAATTCATATATATATCACCGTAAGTTTAGGGCATATACCGTGACGGTTCAAGTTATGTATATTGTCAAGTGATGACCACAGTAGTCTCCGCTAACACAGCTAATATAATAAGCGCATCGTTTTTAACACACACACTCTCTGCCTGGATCTAGAACAGGGTGGGAAAACTTTTTCTTTGTAAAACATCCAAATAATAATTATTCTAGGCTTTGCAGACCATAAGGGCTCTGTTGGAACTACTCAATTCTACTCCTTTAGTTCCCATACAGCCATAGAAATGAATCGTGGTTATTTTCTGATAAAGATTATTTTATAAATTAGTTGTTAGGTTGGACCTGATCCATGGCCATGGTTCACCAACACCTGATTCAACGTATCAAATTCAAGCAAACTCAATGCTTCTGTGTCATTTTCTCATGGCCAGTATGGAATGTTGACCTCTTATTTTAAGGCATGTATTGAAACACAGGCACGTCCTCTTTCTTACTAATAACTATTTTCCCCAAACTCAAGCATGGAAGCAGTCAGCAGGCTTGCCGGCCTTGATGGACAAGGTCACCTCGCTTAGAACAAAGTTTTTAGGCGTCAAACTCCTGGAAGACCTCAAAGTTCTCTTCGAACTCTCCAAGGACAGTTTTGCAATATTCAACGATACTGCAGTTAATGTTGCTATAATTATCTGAGAATCTATCTGACTGGATTTTGAATGGGAGTAACTACATTAAAACAGCACCTCCGTGTTTAGAAAAGAGAAGAATGGATTTATCTGTCGAAGCCTGAAGGAAATAATGATTCATTTCCATTGAGCATTTAGAAGATGACAGTAGAAAACCTGCTACAGCCTGTATCTGCTGGCTCTATGTGGACTTCAAGCTTTAGTGCAGTGCTGAGACAGAGAGACAGAGAGAGAGAGAGAGAGAGACAGAGACAGAGAGAGACAGAGAGACAGAGACAGAGAGAGACAGAGACAGAGAGAGACAGAGAGAGAGAGGGAGAAATATTCAAATAACCATGTCTTTATTTTCTGTAGTCTGATGCTTTGACATTTGCGGTTTTGCTGTCCATAAGGGACCTCATCTCCCAGGGCTACTGACTTCCTAGAGACAGTAACTAGCCCCCAAGTGCATTTTTCAAATACAAACCAATAAGTCTAGGACCCACACCCCAATCTCCTCCTCTATGGGGCTCCCATACTCTGGACCACAATCCACCTGCCCTTATCACCCCCAGAGCAGGTACCAGACACCCAGGGACAGCCCCTGGAGTGCCAAGTCTTAACCACTGGACCACCAGGGAATTCCCGCAAATTTTCCGTTAATACACTGCATTTCAAAATTATACACAAATTATATATTATGTTATACCTTATATTATGTATATTAGGTATATTTATATAATAGATACTATATAGTGTAAATACATACATGTGTTATAGATACATATAAAATACTATTAACATGTGTATATGCATTAATATATATAGTATTTTATATGTATCTATAATACATGTATGTATTTATACTATATAGCATACATATACAATTATATATATTATATATTAATATATGATAGTATATATTTTTATATATTGGGATAGTGTATTATTTAAAACCAAAATTTATATATATATAACATATATACACACATGTATTTGTACACATATATATAGGGATAGTCTCTTATTTAAACCAAAATTTAAACATATATAACATATATATGCACATATATAGGGATAGTATATATATTATTTAAACCAAAATTTATATATTATATATATATACATATATGTATACATATATATATATAGGGCTAGCGTATTATTTAAACCAAAATTTATATATATAACATACACATATACACATAAATTTATGTATATATATATATATATATATATATATATATATATATAAACAAGTTAATGAATGCCAGACCTTCATTCAATAAATATTCATGGGCAACCAATTTGAACTAGACTGAATTTACTAACGGTCCTCTGTTCTTTGACACTTGTGACAATTAGTGAGACTGACTTTTTCACCATAAAGATTTCTGTTCCATGATAACCATATTGGTGGCCATCAGATCCATCATTTTGAAATGAAATAGAAACAAAGATAATTAGGGAGAATATTCAGAAGAAGTGACAAATGACACCGTTGACCCTGGTGGCCGTGCTGGAGCAGGTATAAGTGTTTTGAGCTGTTGTGAAAACCCAAGTTATGTGGAAAATGGCTTTAATCTCCACAGGGATTTGCGATAGCAGCCTCTGCCTACAGAAGGATCTCTCACACCGAAGAAAGGACCCCTGACAGTCCACCTGTGCAGACATCAGTGAGTTACATTTTCAGAAGTAATTCCCACAGATGTGTTTTCCTTATTTTGCCCCTTTCATTGTCCCTTTGTGCATAAATGTTACAGTACATACATATTTTCTTATCTTAGATAAAGCTGAATTTCCCAAAGTAAGCATGATCCTTTGTA